ATACATATATATATATATATATATGTATACATATATATATGTATATATGTATGTGTATATATATATATATATATATATATATGCTCACACATATATGTCTACATTTGTGTGTTTATAAATGTATTTGTGTGGGTCTGTTTATATACATTAATTCCACAACACTATAATACTTTTAAATAAAACACATATGTATACACATATACTGTACATATATACATCAATATCCATTCATTCATCCATCATCTACCGGTTATATATACGCACACACATAAATATACATATATAGTACAAACATATGACCATACATTCCAACAGCCAGACAACAGCCAGGCTTTATCAGAGTTTTGAACTAAACTCTGGACACATTCGACAAGCCATCATCAAGATGTATCTGTGTCATGACTAAAATCCACCATCTCAGTGAAAAGTTCATTTTGAGATATTTTTTCATAAAAACATTTCATTTATTATATTGTAATTATAATACCTTTTTATCTTTATCTGGGAAATGTTGGATTTAACTCGACTAATCATGAATTATTGTTAATAATGTACCGTTACCCCATATATAAACCCATGCTGAGGTATACATAAACATATACCTCTGCAGTCACAACATGTGAACATGAACAAAGCAGACGGGGAGCGAGTGTGTATTTGTTTTTCTGAACAAAAGATGAGACCTCGTCTGTTAGGGGGATAAAAACCTTCGAGGGAATCGGTGTCTGTGTGTGAGAGTGTGTGAGAGAGTGTGTGTGAGAGGCGCCTCTGGTCAGTGACTTCACAGTGGGTGAGGATGCATACTGTCCACTCCTGTGTCTACACACATGCACACATACAAACACACAAACACCCACACTTCAAACAACCGCATTCCTGTCAGGCCTGATATAAATCTGTACAGAGCCAATTAAAGATGTCCTTCAGCGTGTCCACACACGCACACAGATCTAGGCACACCAACGGACAGGCACACACACATCTTTCCTAAATTTTAAAGGTATCAAATAAATACTTAAATGCAAGAGTGAAGAGGAAATTCCAAAGTAACATTAAACCAAGCATTGGCTTTTGAATTTCTTTATTTAAAGCTGATTGACTTTGCAAAAGTGAATATAAAAATAACAAATACACATATAAAAAACCTCCACAAAAATACTGCATTCCATTATAGATTGAACTTTAGAAAAAAACATTCTAATATGAAAATGTATTTACAAAACTGATTATAAGGTATGTAGACATTTGGTAGAAATGTGCAACAAAGGTCAAATTCTGACATCAACATTCTTGAAGACAGGCAGATGAGCCGATGTCACAGCTGACCGATGCAAGAAGGAAAAGTGAAAATAAAGGACACGTAATCGCTCCTAGAACTGATGTTTCTTTGAACAGGATGTTGAAAGAATCAGCAGAGCGACAAGCGTTGGCAGCATCGTAGCCTGATTCGTAGCCGCCGGACAATTTAGAAACGCCCCGCCCTTTTCGTGTCCCACCCCCTTTCCATGTCAAACCTGATTTTTGTTGAACTTATTTGTGGTGTCATATGATGAGCCTTGTCCTACTGACCCGGCCACCGGTCACTGTCTTTGCTACTTTCCGTCAATGACCACGGTGCCACAGCACCGTGTCAGGTTTCCACTTCAATTTCTCTTTTTTATCTTGGCTGCAGAAATACGAAGTGACTGGATCAGTTCAGACCCGCCTCTCCCAAAACCTTTATCAACTATCAACAACACAGACCAGCTCACGCTTTTTGTTGTACGAGTATGTTTTTAGGCTAACACTCATTTGAAATTAAGTTTTGTCAATATGACAGCTTGCTCGATAAAAAAAAAAAAAAAAGAAAACCAAGATCTGTTCAACTTCAGTGTGTGTGTGTGCGTGCACATATTTCTGTGCACGTGTCATAATTTCTGGAAATGAGCAATACTTATCCGTCCGTCGAATCTGTTACTTTGAGTTTGTGTTATCGTTGGATGCTGTGTCCTGTTTCTGTCTTGGTCGGGGTTCATTTGGTCATGGTTTCAGGTCAATCAGTGTCAGGAGGTGGAGCTGATTTTAACAGGCTGCTGCTTTAATTGTTTTAATTAAACTTGCATCTGTAGCATCTTACAATTCGAGAGTTAAGAAGCAGAAAATAATATTAAACTATTGTATTCATCAATGTAATCAAAGAACATTACTTCATGAAATCACTACGATCTTTATTAATTTTTTGTTTATTTTATTAAAGCAATAATTTGAAATAAAAAGACTAACTTCCACTAAAAAACAAATATTACTTTTAAATTTCTACATTAAATTTGTGTATTTTTTAAACATTTTAGTCAATATTTATTTCAACTGTGTAGATCTGGAGAATGTGCCTCTGTGAGATGGCAGTAATAATTTCTACTCACTGAAGTCCAACAAGTTCTTAAATTATAAATTTAAATTTTGCAGAAATTTGTTTTGGGTTAAACAAATTAAGTTATTTCAGTATTTTACACTTTTTCTAGATTCTTCCTTTTTTCAAAAAAAGAAAATATATATTGGTCAGTATTCTGAAAAAAATATTTTCTAACTATTTAAAATGGACCTGTTTTTTTGTTTTATTGTTTATTGTTGGTTTTAATGAAATTGTATTTTTTATTTATTTTAGTCCTGCTCATGTTGTAATGATTTTATTCCTTTATTTCCTTTGGTTTTTTTTTTTGCACAATTTTGTCTTTTTGAATATCTGACAATTTCATCGTTTTCAGATTTGAGAAAAAACAGTTTCTAACATTTAATTCACTGCTCATTTCTCATTAAATAATTATAAAAATACTATTTTTAAGGGTACGCACAAAGAAACATAATTCTACAGTGTGTGTGTGTGTGTGTAGCTGACAATGAGTTCACACTCATGTGCACTGCTGATCTGAAACTCCTCCTCCTTTCACCATGTCAATGTCTTAAAGGCATCAGTCTTGCAGAGTGGATGTAGCCGCCGGATTTAAAAAAAAACAACAAAAAACACGCTCTAATAATTATAGAAAAATAACACACACACACACACACACACACACAATTTGCTGCATTGCCTCTTGCACCACTTTGGGCCATTCTGTCTGCACAGTTTCATGCGTGTTCATGTCTGTGTGTTACAGTGACACAGAGGCCAGAGAAGCACATGGAGATGTTGCCGAGAGCAGCGTAAATAAATCGTCCTTCAACACCGGAGAACACAGCCCACCTGTCTGTCCAAGAATGCCAGTCTTCACACACACACACAGAGATTTGTCCCTGACTCCCTGAATCATTTACAGTTGAATTCAATGGAGTCCATGTTATTACTGATATTACTGTCAGTGAGTGAATGCCTCATTTTCTTGTTCTGGGAATCATCGTTGTAAAGTGATAATGACCACCCACATCTGTGACATCGTATATGTTCACAACAAAATATTAGTTTATGTTTGAAAACTAGACTCAGGTTGATGGGTAAAAAAAATCAATAAAATGTCAATCATCATCTGTCCTGATAAATTACATTTTAAATAAATTAACAAACTATGGACACTAATTTTAACTTTTAATCTAGTGTGTGAGGGCAACAGGAGGGAAGTGTATCTGGAAGTGGATTTTTTTAAATTAGGAGGTGGATTTTTATGTTGTTGGAAGGTGGAATTTCTTTAAGATGTGGAGGTGGGTTTTTATCTAAAGGTGGATTTATATAAAATCAGGAAATAGTTTGTTTTAAAAATTTAAGTAGATTTTTTTTATTATCTGAAATACTTACATTTTTAGTTTTAAAACTAGAAGTAGATTGTTTTTATATTTGGAGGTGGATTTATTTTTAAATGTGAGAATGCTTTACAGGATGTACCTAAAATTAGGAACGTGTAAACAGTCTGTTTGGTTGTGATTTCATTTTGTTTTAAGGAAGCCAATGTTGGTCAACATTGTTGTCGGCGAGAACAAGTCAAAGATTTTACCAATTCAAATAACACAACACTGTAAAAATGAAATAAATCGGCGTAGTGTTTATACACTTTAAGCCACATCATCTCTTTGACTTTTTCTTCTTATTTCTCTTTGGAAGCATCTGTGCATTTTTCTTACTCAAGACACAAAATGGAAAAATATCTTAGAAAGGATTTGGACATTTTGCAAATTAGAAATCCAACAATATAAAAATACAACTTATAAAGAGTTAAAACAAAGGTGGTAAACAATAACTTATATTAACATTCACTCTGTGACTCTGAAAAGACACAACAATATTTGTGGCACAAAACAAAGCAGTGTTTAGTGATTTAGTGCAGGAATTCTAACAAACAAACAAAAAAGGACGCAAGGTGATGAAAAAAGAAAAAGAAAAACCTGTTATTCTTCCACATTCCTCTCATCCTGCTGTGGATTCTCTTTGTCTACTGCTGCTGAACTCGACTGAAGTTAATGCAACGACCCTAAAAAAAACAGGACACAGAGGAAAAGAAGAACGTCAACAATTTTATGAACAATTTCGAAAACCTCAAAAGATAAAGTATTATATTTTCATTAATGACAAATATTCACATGGATAAATATGGAAATTTGAAAAAAACATTTATTTTTATTTTACGACACTGACTAAATACTTAATTGCGCCATGTCTCAAGATGACTATAATTTTATTTTACTTTAAACAATACTTTATTTGCACATGCATGCGCGCACACACACACACACCAGAATCCATCAAAGGATTTTTGTTTGTCTTTGTAGCGGCTACAACTAAGGTCTTTTATCAGCACCACAGGGATGAAGGTCTAAATCTTGAAGACCTTAATTACACCCTCAAACCAAAATCGCTTATAATAGATTTTAATCATCAGTTAAGAGTGACACACCTAGCATTAATCCTTGTTAATTTGATCATGGTGATGCATCTAAAAAAAAAACAAATGTATCCCTGCTCCTCTCACAGGTGTGAACAAAATTTTGTTTTGTCAGGCACGGTGGTCACATGTGCTAGTGTTCTGCAGAATAGGGCCACTCCGACCATCCCCTCCCCATAACCCATCCCTCCTGTCCGCGCCCTAATCTCCTTTATGTTGTCCCTCTGAAGCTCTCCTCACACAGTCAACACTTAAGTCCCATCAGATGCTGTTTTGGCCGCAGTTGTCAGAGTGACTGACTTCAGTGGATTTAAGTGGTGTTAAGGCAGTGCGAAGAGAGGGAGAGGGGGGCGGGGTTTGGTGTGACTGTCAGTGAGGAGCAGCAGGGTCTGGTGTGAGGGTGAAACAGGTGCAGCCCAATACGGTCAAAGCCCTGATCCAGCTCCACTGATCCTGCAGGAGCTGCAGTCCTTTAACTGTGGCCTTGACGGCCAGAAGGAGGCGCTTCAACCTGCTGTTCTGCTACTGCGGCTGCAAACACAACAACGACTCCAAGGAGAAGGAGTCGAGGATGGCTTTCCTACTCCCAATGATTTCTTTCAGGATTTCATGACGTGAATTATAAACACCAACTGTAAAATAGTTTGTTAGCATGATCCTGAAACTTTTTACCACCTTTATTTGGATCCTGATTTAGCTCTGACTCCTGGTTAGATCCTAACATATTAGCTTGATTGTCACATTGCAAGCTAGTCGACATAATTCAAGGACTTGATAAGACAGTGACATTTGTTGTTTACAATTTATTTGGACTTGGCTTGGTTTAAGGAATTTGAAAGAATAACTGTTAATGTACGTTAAAAAAACGTGTTAAAATTCAACAACTAGAGCACACAGGACCTAGCTGGTGTGCGGAGCAAATGAATATGTCATCACGGAGTGCTATATGACGACTTTGTTCATAGATTGTGCTCTATTTGCTTTCTTACGCTGTTTTGTTTTGTTTTTTTAGAAGTTTTTGCTGATAAAAAACTTCTCCAACATTTACTCAATGACATTTTCCCTTCAAGCCTCAGCTACTGTTATTTCTCACCCAAACCAAATGGTAATAGAATTACTTATTTATCTCTTAAAGCTACCTTCTTAGAATCAACCGCAATTTCACCAGTAATGAAAAAAAACAATGCAGCTGAAGCTTTGAGTTCACTGTTGTCCACGATCTTTTTTTTCTAATTCATATTAATAGCAGAGTTTTGTCACATTTACAACGTGATGAGAAATGAAAAGAAGAATGGCAAAAGAAGCCTGGATTAAGTTGGAGAACAAATCTCCCATCTGGACTGAAGTGAACAAACACGTCAAAGCATCAGAGTCGTAATCCAGCAGCAAGATGCTTATTTTTGCAGTGATAAGCTTTGGGCTTTGAAAGCTTTTCATCACCACAACAGACTTTTCTTCTTTCTTTTTCCGTTTTCTCAGCCATTAAACAGTAGCTTAGTTAATCTGAGGCTTAGTTAATCTAACAGCAACATTCTCCACAGTGGTACAGCACTCGTCTGTTCTTCTCCTCAAACACAAATGAGTGAAATCAGTAAAAAATATTCTAAGAAAATGCGAAAACACACTTTTCTTAATACGATTATTGGTCTCCATCTAAACCACACAGTAAATATGTTCTAGGTTCGATTCCCAGTTTGAAATATTTTTTGTTTAAACCCAAAATCTCAAAACAGTACTCCGTCTGTTAGACTTTACAACAAAAAACTGCAGTTTGTAACCACACAACTCTATGGTCTATTATACACCAGCAAGTACCGTGTTCCTCTGAGCTAAAACCATTGAACTTCTCATTAGACTCTGAGGTGAAACTGTAGAAGGGTTTTAAAGGGTTCTGTTTTCTGGTCTAACAGTGGAACAAAGGAGTAAACAGAGGCTTCTGGCTGACACTCACACACACACACACACACACACACACACTGTAGACCCTCATTATTGTGTAGTAGCCAATGTATTTTTAACTTTATATTTAAGTTAACATTTTCAACATAAATCTATATTTTTCCCAGTATTTAAATATAATTATTTTCAAATAATCTATTTCTGAATCAGTGTTAGTAGATTGCATTAGAATATTTAGACATGAGATGCGTTTGGTTTTCTACAGTTGTTGTATGTGACATTTCTGAAGGTCACATGTGTAAATAAATGTCCTAAATATATGCTAAATGCTCAATAATTCTGCAATAAATAGCAACCATTGTTTGGTCAGTCATTTTGATGTTGAAAGAAAACCACTGCAGCTACAAACTACACATGCGCACACACACAAAACTGCAACATTTTTTCTGGACACAAAGCCAGTATCTTTGTCTCCTGCCACTCAAAGATGGCCGCCTTGCAGTCACTGTAGGTGCAGCTGTTTCCTGCCACACCGACACACGCGCTCGCACGCACGCACATGCACACACGCACACACACACACACACACACACACACACACACATCATTGGCAACTAATAGTTCTGGGCACTGTCCTCAACTTGTTCCAGAGAAATGCCAACAGTTCTGGCGTGGACGGCAGTCCGTCACAGACGGCACAGAGAGGCACAGATGGCACTAATGGACGCTTGAATTTCAACTGAGGGACCGGGACAGAGCCGACTTGCCACATTGTGGCGCCGTCCAAGTAACTGTGGTGTGAATGTGCTGCATGAAGAAATCAGGAGTGCGGAATGATGGGAAGATGAAAGGAGGGAGAAGGAAGGTCACAGAGATTGTTCTTATTCAGAAGAAATAATCTGGTTTTGTGAGACTATACTGTACTACCAGCTTGATATTAGACCCAACCGTCTCTACCCAACGACCAGCTCAACATTTGTCACATGACCTGCGATGCTCCTGACCACAAGAGTACAGTTTATGTACCAAAGAAACTGGCAATGACTCAGTGTTAAAAAAATGCAGAACATTTGTAATATTTATCATTCGTGATATGTTGATCTAAGACTAAGATAATAAAAGAAACACAGTACAATGTGATATTTTAAGTGCTTCAATTTGGGAAATTGAAAGGCCATAAATGAGGCTATAAATGACATTTATTCAGAAAGGTAGATAAAAAGAGTAGCAAAATGTTAGCTACTGAAAAAGACTTAATGTAGCACGAAATTAAAAGTCAGGGATCATTTACAATGCTACTTTTTATGTTTCCTTGACGTCTAAAATAAAGTCTAGCAACATACTCTAGTAAAAAAAAACAACAATGTATTGATTGAATGGTTGGTCTAAGAAAACGCTTGGACTTAAGTCTCCAAAAAAAAAAAAAAAAAACAGTTCCAAAAGATGTAAAAATATTGCCTCAAGAACAGCAAAAACATATCCAAAGAATTGTTTTGTCAACTAATGAAATGACAGACCAAAAATAAATAAATAATAATTAGATTTGGAAGTTTCTAGATTCCTATCTGTTGGAACTCTAGACAAACATATAACACAGCAGAGTTTTGGTGTATAAAAAATAATAAAAAATGTTAACTTTTAATATTCTTTATTTATTTTGAAATTGTTATTTTAGGTACTAGTCTTTTAAAGTAAAGTTAAATGTTTTTTTTTAACACGGAACCTCCCATTCATATACATTTTTTTATTTAATTACGACCAAACAATTTGTTTAAACACGATGTAGTCCTGTCTATTAATAAAATATTCAAAATTGCACAAGGCTTTTTTAAGCTGAGCTAAGTGTTGGTTTACAGTAAATGTTTTCTCGTCATAAATCACTGCCAGGAACTGTCTCCATGTTTGAACTTACATCTGAGCTAACTGAATAAAAAAACAAACCCTTGAATCCCAGCAGGAGAAAAGTTGTTATTTATGAGGCTGTAAAGTAACGAGGAGAAGAAACGTTGGCGATGATGTGGATGACGAAGGAGAACAGTGTCTGCAGCAGCCACAGAACCAGCCTGAGTGATAAAGCATCTTGTTAACTTTACTGAGGAAAATATGCTTATCGGGCCCCATGTTAATACAGACTGTAAATTACGGCATGCCGGGGATAAAGGAGCATGAAGGAGACAGAGGAAGTAGGAGGCAGGGAGGGGCCTAATGTGAACTACCACATAGTCAGAGCTTTAAAAGAAATGTGCAAACATGAGCAGAAGCTGCTGTGAGAGGAAAAAACAAAGACAGTCAACATGTGAAGAGGCGACGTGAAGCATAAAACACAACATTTCAATTATATTTTGGTCCTGTCCATTCATTTTAGTCTGAATACAGAATTTCACTTCTTTTCAGGAACGTAGGGTGAACTGGAGGATTTAGGGACTTTTTGAGTAGTTCAGTAGAAACTCCCAAAGTAGTTCAGTAGAAACTCTCCGGCGGGCGTTAGGTGGGTGTCATATTTCACGGTACTTTAGACAAGGATGCCAAAGGAACATTTTCAAAACATATTGCAGATGTGCGAGGGCAGTAGATACATTTATTTTGAGACTATTTCAGGTAATCTGTCTGACAGACACTAGTTCATCAGGAAAAACAAAGAGAAACATTTATTTCAGTCCAGGGAGTGAGAGCTGGCAACTGAAGTAAAT